CTCATGGCCATGATAGATTACATCATGCCTCCTGAGGCTTTGTCGGCATCAGGCGCCGAGAGAGAGAGAAGGGGCCAGTACCCGGTGACCTAGCCTCAGGTGAATGGGGATGAGACAGAAATGACTGCACTGCTAGCTGGGGTCTGAACTGACTGGGGAGGGAAGCTGAGATTTCTATAGCACACAGCTGGTGTGTGGAGTGGGACTGATTATCCACCACATCTGGTGTCAGAGGTGGATGTTCTCAGCCTCCCTGGACTGGTTTTGTACACCCCTATTGCTACCATTTAGCTCTGCCAATCCACATCCTACCTGAGTTCCAAGGTTCAGATCAGGTTCTTCTATCATGAAATCTCTATTTGCTCTTCCTATCCATATCTGAATTCCCCAAGAACTGCACTACTTGTTTTTGTATTGTACTGTTTATGCTAACACTTATGTATATATGTCATATTTCCCTAAATAGTTTTAAGACTCCTGTATTTCTTTTGTATTCTAGCTCAGCCTAGCACAGTGCCAAGAATAACTGGCACAAAATATATATAGCTAAAATGAAACTATATTTGGAAACTGGCTGATACTTATTTCAATTTAAATATACTTGTCTAATGAATGAATTATGTTTACTCATAAAAAACTGCCAATGGAGGAAATGTGGTGTTATGACTTTCTGATTGTTAAATGTTTACTCCAACCTTTACCAAATTTAGATTTTATTTGATAAATTTTGTTGGTGCGGGGAATTTGCGTTTCAATAATTCTGTAATATTTCTGAATGTTTTAATTCATTTAAGACATATAGCACTTCTGCCTTAGCAGATTTCATGAGTATAATGTGATCCTTAACTCTTTATAGGTTGTTTATATCTCACTATGAAGCAAAATATAATACTATTAGTATATTTAATCCAGTGAGACTTCATGGATGCCAAGCACTATTCTTAGCACTTTATAGGCACTCTTTCATTTAATATTGACAACCCTATGAAACAGGTACCACTACAGAGAGGAAAAGCACTTACCTAGATCAAACAGCTAGTAAGTGGTAAAGCCATGATTTAAATGTAAGGAGACTGACTCTGGGGCGTAACCGGGGATTTTAAGTATACACAATAACCAACATAATTTTATAAAGGAATTCTCATGGTACTGGTATATGAAGACAAACCTGAAAATAAGCATTAAAAATATGCACAGAAATACAACCACACTCACACCCACAAAATGCTTAAGATCCAAAAGGGAAAGAAGTCATCAACAAGCTTATTGCTTACTGTGATCTTTCCCTTGCCCTGGAGAAGTGCAAACACTTGCTTGAGGGGTGACAGGCATGAGAGCTTGACGAATTGCTTTTTCCCAGCTCTGTGCTACATCAAGTCCAACTCCAGTGGCAGCAAGAACTGGATTGTGAGAGCTGTCCCCGTTGTTCTCACCCACAAAGTATACCATAGTGTCAGTGATGATCTCAAAACAGTGCGGGTTGCTGCCTTGTGAAATGTTTGTGAAATCACGTGGCGAAGATACACGGAGAATTTCTGAAAGTGGGATTTCCTGAAATAAAAAAATTAAGCATTGGAAAATATGAATACATCTTGTTTTTATTTTCAGACACGCTAAAGAACTGAAGATATGCATTTCTAATGAATGTCATTATTGTACCTCAAGTGTGTGGCACATGGAACCCAGTCAAGTGTTACAATAGTATCTGCCTTGAATCATTTATACTTCCAGCAATGCCAGAGACAGAGCAGGGAGGGTGGTGACTATGCCAGTGATTCTGGCCTGGAGCAGATCATGAGGGTGCAAGGAAGGAGAGGACTTAGGAAGACAATTTGCCACTGTACCCAACACTTGTTGTTTTCCAATTATCATTAAATCTACTCAACAACTACTTCTCCATTGACTGCTGTCTGCAAGCTATAGCCCTAAGAAATGCAGGAGTAACAGAAGAAAAGGCAAAAAAATGTTGGGTCAGTGGAGTTTGTCTGAGCACTCCATTCTGGTTCTGTCCATTGAAGTGAAGTGTAACCATCATTTATGTTTAGTCCACTTCCTAAGACAAGAAACAACTAAAAACAAAACAAAAAAACCCTCCAAAAAAAAAACCCAGCTCAAAGCCAATCATTACTATCCATTCTCTTACTGACCTAACTGCTACACTTATAATCTCGTTTGGTGTCTGCTGGCCTGTGACATGGCAAACCATGGGGCAAGGCAATCAAGGAGATGGTACAAAGGAGATGAACAGCCAAAATAAGCAATCAGGAATCAGGGCCTAAGGTAAACTGGAAGGTAGGAGAAGCACCAAATACCACACTGGTCTCTTCTGGACAGGCAATGATCATGGAACTTTCTAAACAGTCTAATCTAAATCACAGTATCTGGAGGGAAAACAGCAGCAACCTGACAGCACGGCCAAAAACAAATAACACCAACCAACCTTTGGTAGCACGGCTGCTGTGGAAGGTGGAAAGGAAGGGTGGGCTGACAGTGACTTGTATAAGTACATTAGCATGTCATAATAGGTATATTGAAAAATAACAATCAATGAATATTATTTGGATACAATTGAAAAACATACAATATTTTAATATATATATATTTTAAATATGAAGTTCTTACCTTATAATACTTTGATCCAGATTCATTTTGAAACAATGTTAGACATTTGCTGTCAAGTCTCCAGTAATGCCTCTTTCTCTATAAAACAAAGACCAGGATTCTGTGAGATTCAAAAATAATGATTCCCCCAAAGTACTTGTATTTTCTTTTCATTTTTATAAATTTGTATTTTTGAATAGGTTATATATTTATGAGATTCAAAATCCTGAAAATATAAAAAGGATATATAGTGAAAAATATCATCTCAGTCACTCATATCCCACCTTCCACCCTTAGCCCCTGGCAAGCAATGTTATTAGGTTTTGGAGAATCTTTTCAGAGAATTTTACACATGCACCTGCAAACAAATATATTATTTTCCACCCCTTTTTCTACAAATAGTAGCATACTGTTCTGTACCTTGCCTTTTCATTTGGAGATCTTCAGATGAGAACACAAAAAGCTTCCTCATCTCTTTTTACAGCTGTATAATATTCCATTGTGTATATCAGGGTTTCTTAACCTTGGCACTTTTGACATTTTTGACCAGAAAATTCTTTGTTGTGGGGGTTGTTTTGTGCATTGTAAGTTATTTAGTAGCACGTCTTGCTTCCACCCACTAGATGCCAGTAGCACTAACCCCCACCAATTATGACAACCATAAAATGTACCATATCGATGTACCATAATTTATTCTATTAGTCACAAACTGATGGACATAAAGGTTGCTGACTCCAACCTTCGGTTATTACAAATGATGCAGTAAATAACTTTTACGTACTTTTTTTAAATTTGGGCAAATTTATCTATAGGCTAAATTTTCAGAAATTGACTTGCTGGGTCAACAGATATGTGCACACGTAATTTTTTTTTTTTTTTGATAGTGTCAAATTATCCTACACAAGATTTGTCCCAATTTATATTCTCATCAGCAACATAGGGGAGTGCCTATTTACTTACACTCTCTCTAGAGCCCTGGTGGCACTGTAGTTAAGGACTTGGCTGCTAAGCAAAAGGTCAGCAGTTTGAATTCACCAGCCACTCCTTGGAAACCCAATGTGGCAGTTCTACTCCATCACTGAGTTGGAACTGACTCAAAGGCAATGAGTTTGGTTTCTCTAATGTAGTATGTTATTAAACTTTGTGATCTTTGCTACACTGATAAATAAAAACTGGCACTCAGTGAAATTTTAAATTGTATTTTGTTTATTATGAATGAGATTAAGCTCTTATGTTTAAAAGTTATTTTTATTTTTTTCTGGGAATTCTGTTTATATTTGCTGCTCATTTTTCTACTGTGTTGTGGTCCTTACCAATTTGTTAATACTCTTTATATATTATGGAAATTAGCCCCTATGTAAAATATGAGTTGAAACCCTTTTCCCAGTTTGTCACTTGACTTTGCCTTTTGGTTTCTGCCATGTAGACAGTTTTTAACAAGGTTCCATCTTTTACTGCTTCTTTGAGTTTATAATTTTCCATAGTTTCTTCTACTGGTTTAGTTTGTTTACATTTAAATCTTTGATTCATTTAGATTTATTATGTGTAAAATGTGAGGCATGTATGCAAAATAATTTTTTTTTCAAAATGGCTACATGGATTTTCCAATATCATTTATTGAATTATCTCCACCTATTTCATATTATCCCTTTGATATACCATTACATTCCCATACGTATGTAGGACACTTCAACTTCCTTTTGGAAGAATATAAGCTATAAATAAAAGAAAAAGCATACAACAACTGCGGTCTTTCCTGTGGTCGTCAAATAAAACTTTATTTAAGGCAGCTAAAAGTATTGGGTGCTTCATTTTATTCTTAAAGGTTTAATAGAAAGTCTTTTTCAGTAATCCATTCAGTAAGATTTAAACAATAACAACAGATAACATTGACTGAGTGCTTACTGTATGCCAGACACTGTTCCAAGTTCTCTTCATACATTAACTCACTTAGGATCTATGAAGTAAGTCTATTATGTCAGAATTTAAACTCAGGCAGCCTGGCTCCAAAGTCTATGTTATTAACTATGACACTATGCAGACTCTTAAAATCTACCACCATTCCACCGTAATTTCACCATTCCTCGTCTTACATAGCACTAAAAAATAACCTGTATATTACACTAAATAAAAGTCTACGTATACATGTTTCCTACCTTTGGTAACACAGCCTAAGATGACTTTACAGATGAATTTCTAATTCCTTCTATCTTTTTTTGTAGCTAATTATATTTCTAATCATTACTCTTTATTGTGGCACAATGCCAAATCCTTTTTTAAAATTTTATTTTTAAAAATTCATTATGCTTTTTACTCTGGTCATCAGTCATTTTACATAATTTATCAGGTATTCTATTAGCTTTCTTAGAATTTATAATTTATTTCAAATGATACATCATCTTTGTTTCTATAGTTTCTTTCATTTATCGTTCTACGTTTAGTTAATTTTAAAAAAATAGTTCATATTTTTGTTGTTGCTGAGAATATACACAGCAGAACATACACCAATTCCACAATTTCTACATGTACAATTCAGTGACACTGATTACATTCTTCAAGTTGTGCAACCATTCTCACCCTCCTTTTCCCAATTGTTCCTCCCCCATTAACATAAACTCACCATCCCCTAAGTTTCCTATTAAATCTTTTGAGTTGTTGTTGTCAGTTTGATCCCATATAGACAGCTCTTAAAAGAGCATAATGCTCAAGGCAGACATTTTTCACTAAATAAGCTAAACTACTGTTTAAGAAGACTCCAGGGGATTTTTTTGGTTTAAGGTTTAAAAATTATCTCAGAGCAAGAGTTTTGGGAGTTCATCCAGCCTCCATGGCTCCAGAATGTCTGGATTCCAAAAGAATTTTAAATTCTGTTCTGCATTTTCCTTCTTTTGATAAGGATTCTTCTTCTACAGCATCTTTGATCAAAACGTTGAATAACGGTAGCCAGCACATCCAGTTCTTCTGGTCTCATGGCAAAGGAGGCAGTTGTTTATGGAGGCAATTAGCTACACATTCCATTTCTTCCTCCTATTCCTGACTCTTCTTCTTCCTCTTTTGCTCCAGGTGAATTGTTGTGCCTTGGATGGCCGCTTGCAAGCTTTTAAGACCCCAGGCACTAGCCTGATCCTTTCTGAATCTCTCCTGCTCTAGCAGGTTATTAAGAAAATACATTAAATATTCTACCTTTTCAAAGTTCTCTACTTTTACATAGTGCTTTAATGTAAAATGAATTTCTCTTAAAACTATTAAGTATTCATTTTCTTTATAGATAGCTTATTCTTATTTTGACTTAAAAAATGAATAAAATAAAACCTATAACAGTTATACTAACATACTTAAACAAATCTGATTACTGACCAGGTTATCCCTGCTGGTGTAATGCACCATCCATCCTTCCTTCACCATTGTGCTGCTCTTCCTCTTCGTGTGCTTGATGGACTGTACAACCCTCATTAGCGGAATATTATTGCTTGTTGATGGACTAAAAAAAATTTAAAATTTATGGTACAGATTTATAATATCATTTTAAAAAAATAAATACTAGGCTCACCAAGCTTTTTTAAAAGAGAACTGGGCTAAATTTTTTCAAAATACATTAGAAAGACAATGGCTTAACGAGAAGAAAATAAATTAATCCCCATATGAAGATATACAGTTGTTTTATAAAAGAATAATATAATTTCTCATTATTTGTCATGAATTTCCAGAAGGACGCAAAAAATTAAGAAATATAAGATGAACAACAGAGCACAAAGAATTCCCTCCAACTGGAAGATGCAGGGCCTGGGAGAGGGTCTCGTTTGGGATTGCTGTTGAGGAGTCTTCCTGCCCTAGACAGGATAATAAATTAGTAAATTCATGACAAGGCAAAAGGCAGGTATACCTATACTCAAATCTGCGTCGCTCAAACATCAAACTCACTCGCTCATGTTTTCAGCAAAAAGTACTTCTAGTAGAAGATATTTAATGGAAAATGATTTACAGATATTAAGAAAATAAGAATAGCAATGTAATGAATCAAATCAGGTAATACTGGAACATATAACAATGGCTGGAGAAAACGAGCAATTTTGGGGGGCAGGGAGAGGTAAAAATACATTGTTTTTCAATTTGTACCTCAAACATAAAAAGAATTTTCAAACAGAAAATACTTTCTCTTAAAACTATTTATTCACTATTAAGAACATAGCTAAGTTGTCTAATAGTCTCCAAATTGGGTAAAACATTAACTTTTGGTTAATAACAATAATGACAGATATAACTTAATGATAAGCCTAACTGAGTAAATGACTACACTGGAAGGAAGTAGCTCAGCCATGTGAGATTGATGAATGGCTCACTTTTTCTAAATAACTTTTTGCTGCCAATGAAAAACAAAAACTGCTAAAATGATGACATTTTTACCACAAAAGAGTACATCCTGAGGGTGTATATACAAAGAATCAGAGTTCTATCAACATATGGGGATACTTAAGGAGCCCTGGTGGTGCAACAGTTAAGCACTCAGCTGCTAACCGAAAGGCTAGCAGTTCGAACCTACCCAGTGACTCCGCAGGAAAAAGACCTGGTGATCTTCTCTTGTAAAGATGACCAAAAATCAAAAAACCAAACCCACTGCTGTCGAGCTGATTCTGACTCACAAGCCTAGAAAATCTTATGGAGGCAGTTTTACTGTGTTACATGGGGTCACTATGAGTTGAAAATCAACTTGACAGCACCTAACAACGTTATCCATGTGTGTCATCGAGTGGATTCCAACTCATAAAGACCCTATATGACACAGTAGAAGTGCCCCATACGGTTCCTAGGCTATAATCTTTACGGGAGCAGATCGCCAGTTCTTTTCTACCATGGAGCAGCTGGTGGGTTTGAAACATCAACCTTTTGGTTAGCAGCTGAGCATTTATCCATTGTGCCACGAGGGGGATATTTAAGGTAGTTTTATAGTCCAATAGCATTTTTACACAGTGGTAATATTTAGATTAATTGTGGCAATATGAAAACTGCCCCCAAATTCATCACCACCATCTTCAGTATAACATTCTTGGGCATGTATTCTTACTGTTGTTTCTACTATCAGATAATCTGCCAGTATGAAGAAACTCATTGCCCTTTCATGCCTATTGGGAAAGGAGCTCCCCACAAACATTTTTGGGCTCTCAGGTTTCTTAAGAGGCTACTTTTCCCACTAAAAGTATTTACTACCCTCCAGTAAGGGCTTGTGTAACAGTGAAAAATGAAAGAGACATTCTCTGGCAAAAATTCGCTAAGACAGAAGGCTTATGTATGAAGCAGCACATTCAGGAAGTAAGATTGGGTCAAACTTTTGTCTCTTTTGCCTTCTGTACAGCTAGATTAGCCTTGTAAGGATATTTATGGCTTCATGTATGATAGTGAAGAAGCCCTGGTGGGTCTGGTTTTTTGTGTGTGTGTGCCCTATCTGGGAAACCAGAGGTGACCAATGTAACCAAATGGTGCCTCCAATTATCCTCTGGACAATGTTGTCCCACACATAAGGAGGCCATATTTTCATGCATTCTTTGGGATATAAGTTCCCCACAAAATATGTATGAAAATTCGTATTTCATATCATACAGTCAGAAAGGCTCCTTGATTCAGCATGCCTTCCATTACTGAAAACACATATTAAAAAATATTTTTAAAGAGAAAGTAATAGGGTTTTGAAAGGGTTAATTAACCAATGGTTCCATACTGGCACCTTGTGGTGGCTGCTCCACAACTAGGTAGCATATCTGAACTACAGTTAAACAAAGCATTTTTTTAAAAAGGGTTCTCATATCTTCACATCTTGAGTGGATGGCAAGAGCAATATTATTTCAGAAATATTGCCATGCATATAAAAGAATTAGACTTTAAATTAGATTTAAGGTTCTACTTGTAGAGACAGGCCTTTTCTTTCTTAATAGAACTCCTGGACAGACCTTACATTTGGAAGTAGCTTATAATATGTACGCATGCGTTACCTGATTGTTTTAACAGCTTCTTCATCTCTTTCTACATCAAGATCAGATGGATCCAGGAAGAACATTTTATCTTCTGGAGGAGATGGCTCCTCTATGTCATCCAAGCCCCGACTACTGTCACTGTTTATGTCACTACTGTCAATGTCCATTGGTATATCTGTATCTGTTCCCAGACTGGAAGGTTCTGGCAAAGTTTGAAATGAATTTCAGTTTTATATGAATGCAATATCACTATATCTAAACAGAAGCAGTCTATTAAAAGCAAAAGTTTTAAAATTCTTAAAAGAAAATATCTTTATGATTCAGGGTAAGAAAGTATTTATTAAAAAAATATACAATCTACAAATCATAAGGCAGAAAATTAATTTGATTATATTAGCATTTTAAATTTCTGTGGGGACAAAAGATATTATAGGCAAAGTTAAAAGATAAGCCACCACTTTTATATTTATGGCCAAGTGATTTTCAACAAGGGTGTCAAGAAAATTCAATGTGGAAAAAATAGTTTTCTCAACAAATGGTGCTGTGACAACTGGATATCCATATGTAAAAGAATGAAATTGGACCCCTTCCTTGGGTCCAAGGAAAATTAACTCAAAAATGGATCAAAGACGTACATTTAAGAGTTAAAAGTATAAAGCCCCTAGAAGAAAATACAGGAGCAAATCTTTTCACTCTGAGTTAGGCAAAGTCTTCTTAGACACAATACCAAAAGCATGTGATAAGAGAAAAATAAATGAATTGGACTTTATCACAATTAAATATTTTTGTGCTGAAAATGATACCTTGAAGAAAGTAAAAAGACAGCCCACAGAATGGGAGAAAATATTTGCAAATCATCTATCAGATAAGGGACTTAGCACAGTCAGAATATTTTAAAAAAAACCCTTACAACTCAATAATAAAAGGATAAATAACCCAATTTAAATTGGGCAAAGGATCTGAATAGATATTTCTCCAAAGAAGATGTACAAATGTCTAATAAGAACATGAAACTATGCTCAACATTGTTGGCCATCATAGAAATGCCAATCAAAACCACGATGATATACCACTTCACACCCACTAGGATGGCTATAATAAAAAAAAGGCAGACAATAACAAGTGTTGGTGAGGATATGGAGAAACTGAAACCCTTATAGATTACTTGTGGAAATGTAAAATGCGGTATCTGCTTTGGAAAACAGGTTGGCAGTTCCTCAAAATATTAAACACAGATTTACCATATGACCCAGTAATTTCACTCCTAGGTATTTATTCAAGAAAAATGAAAATATATGTCTATACAAAAACTTGTACACAAAAATTCATAGCAGTATTTTTCACAATAGCCTAAAAGCAGAAACCATCAACTGATGAATGGATAAATAAAACACAGTATATCCATTCAGAAGAATACTGTTTGTTGATATAAAAGAATGAAGTATTTATATATGCTACAACATGAATGAACCTTGAAAACATTATGCTAAGAAACCAGTCACAAAAGCCCACATATTATATATTATTATTTATATGAAATGTTTAGAAAAGTCAAATCTATAGAGACAGAAGGTAGATCAGTGGTTGCCAAGGGCTGGGAGAGAGTGGGAAATGCAGAGTGACTGCTCATGAGTTTGGAGCTTCTTTTTTGGGGTGTTGAAAATATTCTAAAATTACATAGTGGTGGGGGCTGCACAGCTTTGTGGATATACTAAATGGGTGAACTATAAATTATATCTCAATAAAACTGTCACCAAAAAAAAAAAAAAAAAAGATAAGCTATTGATTGAGGAAGATATTTATAACACATTTAACTGACAATGGATAAGTATGCAGACTTATCATTAACTCCTGCAAATCAAAAAAACAAATAAAAAAAATTAGATAAAGCATTTAAAGAAGCAATTTAAAAGGGGGGGGGGAACAACCCTAAATAACCAGTAGACATTGGAAAAATGCAAACTCACTAATAATCAGAGAAATGTACATTAAAATAAATATAAGTTGTTAGTTCATCTCCACTGTATGAAAGGTAGTACAAAAATACAATTACATGAACTATAATCTAGAGAAGACTTTAGTTGTATTAAAAAACTGCGCAAATCCAGATTAACTGAAAAGGAAAATCCAATCACACTCTCTATCAATGGTATCAAACAGAAAACATGCCATAAGGGAAAACATTGAATTCTAGAGTAGTTTCATTCTTTACACTTTTCCGCCTATAGAACTAACTACTTCCATTCAATTTTTACCAGTCGTGTAATTGTTAAAAAGGAAAATTAAGCTGAAAAGTTAGTCATTACTCTTCCCTTCCAAAAAAAGGTAACCATCTTGCTTATTATTATCTTGAAAAGAAAATAATGGTCAAAAAGAGGAAACGTTTGGGTAATGATTATTTGATGAAGAAAAGAGATGGTGGGGCAGTACATGTGTTCTAATGACTATGGACTAAGGAGCCAGACCACATAGGTTCAAATCCCAGCTCCACCACTTATTGGCTGTATTTTCTGGGCAAAAGTTATTTAACGTCTTTGCACCTCAGTTTAGTGACCTGTGAGTGGAAATAACAATAGTACTTCCAAAAGTTGTTCTTAGGTTTAAATGTCAATATATGTAAAGACCTTAGTAAAGTACCTGGCATATAACAAGCACTCAATAAATGGTCAAACCATAAAAGAACAGGGATGACAGCCGGGCTTTAAAACAAGTCCTTTCATCTCTAAAGATGAAAGAATACATTCAGCACCACTAGCTATGTTAGCACATACTAGACTACGAAGTGGTAGGTGGCTAGAGGAAAGATGGGAAAGCATAATTACTTACAAAAGTATACCATCACTCAACACGGTGAATGTAATTAATGTTACTAAACTGTGTACTTAAAGATGGTTAAAATGATTAATTTTTTGGTGTACATATATCTTCCCACAATAGAATTTTTGAAAAGTATATCATCACTGATCTCTGTATTTTGCTTGATTATTAAATCTGAAAGGAAACTTGGCTGAAGTTAAAAAACAAAGTAAAATATGCAAATATAACCTTATGGAAATAAACTGTGACCTTGTCTGATCTTTTATAGAAATTAAGAAAAAGAATTTTACCTCCATTGAAAGTAACCTCTCCAAGGCAGTCTCTTGGTACTTTAGATGCACAGCGTTTATGGCAGTTGAATTTGCAATCTTTAAAATAAAAATATTAATTTGTCCAAAAAGTTAGGCGATGTCAGATACAGTCTTTCTTTAAATCACTGGAGTATTATTTTTATTATTGTTAATGATGATAATAAAATAATAATAAAGTCTTCCTCTACTAAGAACTCAGGTCTTAGACTAAAAGTCTGGTCTCAAATTCTGTTGTCACCTTTTCATAGTTGTTTAACCTTATACAAGTCACCTACCTGCCCCCCCACCCCCCGGGCCAGGTCTCAGCTTCTTCATTTCTTCATCTGTAAAATCAGGTCAGAACCATTTGTACAATACTATGCCACAAAGTAGGTGGCTGCTCCATGTTTCCTTCTCTTACTTACCTCGCACTCATCTTTCATATACCCCTTAAGAGTTTCTTAGGATGATTAAATTTCTATTCAACGTATCTCAGGTACTTACTTTCAATTTCTAAGTATTAAGACCTGATGCATATGCAGAAAAGAGATTGTGATTCAACAAACATTTATTAGGAATCTAGTAAGAGCTTTCACATACAACCCTATGATGAAGGTGTGAGCTTCTCAAGCACAAGGTCTCCTATTTTTACATAATGGTTCTCTTCAGCCTGTAAGAATCTTGGAGTTGATAGCCTTGGAGATCAGTGTCAGGTACAATCTGTTCAACATTACTGTGTAACTCTGTGGGTCTTAAAGTGTGATCCCCAGACCAGCAACATTGGCATCACTTGGGAACTCATTGAAAATGCAAACTTTTTGGTCCAACTCAGATGAACTATACCAGAAATTCTGGGAGTAGGCACAGAAATCTGTTTTAATAAGCCCTTTAGGTGACACTAAAATTGAGACCCACTGTTGTAACTATAGTCTAATATCACCTTTGAAATGCATCTACCAGCAACAAGTGGGTAAAAATAACTGAGTCCTGACTTAGAATGCTTTTTTAATACTTGTGAGTCAAGGAACTCTTGGGTATAGTGCCAGTAGTACATGCTGAAGGTCATAAGAAAAAGCATCACGAAATTAGTAATTTGGTCTATTATAAAAATTGGCATTACAGGATACTGTCCTTTTTAGTGAGAGGCCCTAGGGAAAATTCATATATAATATTAATATCTTGCATATCTCTTAAATAGCTGATTTTTTTTTACCTCATGAGCTTTGAAAATTGTGAAAATTACAAGGTTTCTCTTTTCCCTTTGGAAACTTATAGCCAAATTTGTGGTCCACCTGCAGCAAGTTTGTAGGTTCTAATGGCAAGCATTTCTGTTCTTTATTTTCTTACCCATGCTTTTACTTATTTGGCTATGCTTTTTTGTATCTTACATACACTTTCAAGTCACCTCGTAGTTTTTACAGAATAAAATAGAAAATAAACAGATAAATGAATAAATGAATGAATAGCTGTTCTTGGAATTGTATATTTTTTCAAATGATCCAGTATAACTGTTTTGTGTTATCTAGTTATTTCTTTTATTTCTTAGGCTGACAAGTGTATGAAAATGATGATTATTTTACTTTTTAAGTATCAATTTATGTTATAACAATATAGGAATTACTGAAGTAAATGATTATTTTGGATTAATAACTGAAATAACTTACCTATACAAGAAATATAAGCTACTATTTTTTGAACTAATATAAGCACAAAATGTTATTCCACCAAAGCCTTACGTAGTTAAACTAATACCCAGTGGCAGAGTTCACTAGCTTTATTTCAAAATTCATTAATATACATATTTATTTTACTTCCTCTACAGCATACTGTACTTTTCTGCATATGGTTTTAGAATGTTTCTTTTCTGCTCAGTAGAGCAGTGCTATTTACTACCTTTACAAAGATTTATCTGTTGGCTAGAATTTGTACATCTGTTACTAATGTTCTCTCCCAAAACATTTTTTAGTGGCTGCTTTCCAATAACTTTTGTGTTGATATTGTAAAGTACTAATTTATATATTAACTCGTACCCAAAAGCAAGCTGCTGAAACACAATTTCAAATTCAATTATGCCTGATGGTTAAATACCTGACAAAGACTGTACCACCTGTTCACTGTTCTCATATGCTGTCATATACTGTCAAGATAGCTCTTCTTATATACTTAAGTATTATATTTAATTATCCTACTCTGGGTTGTAAACAAGGATTCACTATTGCAAAACCGTCTATCTGATGTTCTATTTAGAAAATCTGATAACTCAATTCCCCAAATACTCTACTATACAAACAGTACTGTACCAAGAACAGTTACAATGAATTAATCACATGAAAAAATGGTATAAGATTACAGTTAGACTATTTATACCCTATTCTGGCTCAGTGACTAGTAATGCTCTATTATACAGCATTGTTGAGAAGATATGAGACAAAAACATAAAATCACCTTTAAAAAGCATAAAAACATTACATAACTATAAGGAAAAATTTATTTGATTATTCTATAAAAATCATGTTTTATTAAGAGACATTTTTGGAACACTATGATAGGGTGCTGGGTTAGTACTGGAATGTACTTAGTGTGCTGGGTCCCTTTTATAATTCCAGTGGCTTCTACTATAGTCTACCTATTGCAGTGTGATGATTCTCTAGAATGACAGGTTTTGTACAACTCTCCTAGATACGTAATTAAAACAGCAACGAAACCCTTATAGCATATTTACATGTGTGTACCTGAACGCATAATGAAAAGAAGAAAGCATTATTTCTATTGTGGGTAGTGTCTAGCTCCGGAATTAGAAAGACTTAAGCCCTAATATTAGCTTAGTTGCTTGCTAGCTGTTCCTTACTGGCAAGTGCTGAACATGCAAGTTAAGCAGCCATGTCTCATAAATTCAAATCACTATGTGATTCTGAGCAAGCTACTTAATTTCTCTATGCCTTAGTTTCCTCTCTTATAAAATGGAAAACTACTGCTATTACTATTAGCAAAAGTATATTTTTCATATAGTTGCTGTGAAGATTAAAAGTTTTTTTTTTTTTTTTGTAGCATAGTGCTTGGCACATAGTACATACATTAGATATGATTAGTAGTTGTTAGTGTGTATATATACATGTATACATATATATACGTATACATATATAGATTAACACACACCTTTTTTGTACATTAAAAACTATAAAAGCAACTTATTTGGCTAAAGCTTCTGAAATACAAATATTTTAAATTTCTATCTGCTAACAAAAATAGACATGAATTTTACTTAAGGAAAATACCCAGTCCTACCTTTACACTGCATTCCTTGACGAAAGAGGCCTTTCAGTAACCGCTTGCAGTACTGACATATTGTGGGACGGGTATAAGAGTGGACAGCAAATGTGTGTGGAACTTTTACTCTGCACATTACCATCTTTTCCATCCAGATTGGGCGACCACTCCAAGAAGGAATTCTCTTACTTGGTTCTTGGTGAACATGTGACTAAAACATAATTTTCATAAGTATAAGTCAATATTAAAGACGAAGTATTGCAAGCAGGGCTTGACCACAAGAGTCATTTATCTGGAATCCAATAGCCAAAAATCTAAAAATGTGGATCTTAGCAGTTTCCTTTGGAAGCTTAACTCACCAACATTTAAATGAGAAAAGTACAGAATTTTTTATGCTTAAAAAAAAAAAAAAGTAAGATACTTTCATCCTCACGTACAATCACTGACAAACGGTTGTTTGCTAGACACATACATCATTTAAAAAATAAAATGCAAAAATCTTAAAATTAATTCATAACAGATGTTCAAATCCTTTCAAAAACCTGACCAAGGAATTAACCATAGGAAAAGTAAACAATCCAGAAAAATTATTGTTGTCCATGTTGTATTACTAAACACGATGTCTGAAAATATTTTGAGAAGTCTTAGTTTTTCAAATTTAACAAAGACTAAAATATATACATAAAAACTTAAATTAATGATATCAAAATGACAGATATATAACTTAATTTTGCATAGTAGTTATTGTAAACTAATCTTTAGCTCTAGTAATTATGCTTTAAGGAGTAACTTGATGTTTTAAGTATTTTACAGTTGTTTGGGTTTTTTCCCCCCACATGAGTAAGAAGGAAAACTAAAGCAAGCATCAATTAAAAACTTTTTTTATAACCTGAGGGATAAGTGGATTTTTCTAACTATGGCCCTTTCTATACAAAGGGAATAATTAAATTAAATTATAGGTCACTGTAATGTGGCTCATTCCACTCATTCAGCAAGCATTCACTGATTAATTATTATATGCTTAGAATTATACTATGTATCAGAGATACAAAATGAATACAAAATAGTCCATGTGCTCAAGCACAAAATCTAAATACCTAACTACTACCTAGATGTATTTTGTTGTAGCTGCTTGCATCTTCACTGCCAGAACTGAGGTCTTGAGATCTTTTAGATGCCTTCTATAACTAGTAAGAAGCTGAGTCATTCTACATCGATATGTTCAACCAATGGAAGCAAAAGAAGCAACCAAGAAACAAAGAAGTATACGGGAGAAGGGAAAGCGGGGGGTGGGGGTGGGGGCAAGAGGAAGTGAAGGAAAAGAAAAGCAATATAAATGAATGAAGGAGAATACTACATAAAGAACACAAATACAGCCACAGATCAATAGTTTCTTACTAAAGTATAGCCAGGAATTTTCTAAAACTAATTATGATGCAGTTTAATTCAAGAAAAGTACAAAAAGGAAGAGAAGTCAACATGGCGCTATACACAGAAGCATCATGCCATCCCTCTGCAGCAAAGACCTAAAAAACTAAGTAAAACAGATACAAATGTCAATCCTGGAACCCTATGCACCAAATGAAGGAATAAAGAACTCAATCAAGCACCAAATGGAATAAGAAACTGACAGAGGACAGAGCATGAGGAGAGCTACGGAGTGGAGGTCTCTTGCCAGCTATCGTGGCTGGATTTGCCATACTGGACTACAGCCACCAAAGAACGCACACAGGGATTAAGGAAAGGCAACTCCACGGAGCTCCCAGCAGGAGACAGAGCACCCAGTAACCAAGGATACACATTTTCCTTCCCCCCACCCTTTATCCCTCTAAGCAGCCTTCGCCCCTTTCCAACGGGCCATGGTTGCTTGGCCGGAGAAAGACCAGCTCACTGCTGCCAGGGTCTGCCCCACCCCACTGGCTGGCCCCTTCAGCGCCATATATATTTTTTTGTTCTTGTTGTTTTTATTATTATTTCCTTTTATTCGTTTGATTGCTGGTTTCTTCTCTCTCTTCCCCCTCTTTCCTTTCTTTTGTCCCATCCACCTAGACCCGTGCGCCACCCACACCCTTTCTCGACAGGACGAACCATACTGCTGGGCTTAAGAGCCACCAGCGCATAGCCTTGCCGGATCTGTCCCATCCCCACCAGCCAAATCCTACTACACCGCCATTTCATTTACTTTTTTATTTTTACTTATTTTTTTCTTTTACTTTTTTGCTTTTATTTCTCTCTCCTCTTTCTCTTCTTTCACTCACTCACTTAGCTCTGCACATTGTATCCTCTCCTTTCCCTCCTGCCTATCTGCACTGTGCACTGAGTGCTACACCCCCGAGCAGTAGTGACGCGGTCCCCTGGACCCCTCTCTGAACTGCCCCCCAGCCCTGCCCCATTGCATCCAGTTTGTGTCACAAACTACCCATTCTCAATCCTCCAACCGTGCTGGATCCACCAGGCTGCACCGTAGCTAAGTGACTGGCCCTGCCAACCTGGATAAGGTGGTGAGAAGTATCATGTCCACAGGCCAGTAAGCAACAAAACACACCCAGCTTGCATGTCCACACATAACAAAATAAAACAAAAAACAGGACAAAACAATCAAATCTATAATCAATAAGCGAAGAAAATAATTCCTGAATGTCCTGGAGACAGCAGACAACACCAAGACATATAAATTAAGACAGAAGAGGATGGCTCCATAAAGTGACTAAAATAAAACACCAGATGATCTTCTGCTAGAAGAAAAGGTAATGGAATTACCTGACAGGGAACTCAAAACTCTAACATTCAGGGGGCTCCAACAGATGAAGGAAAATGCAGACAAAAATATGGAAAAATAGACAAAATCATGCAAAAGACAGACAAAACAATGGAAAAATTCAGGAAAATAATACAGGAACAAAATATCAAAATAAATAAAAAACTAGAAATCATACAAAAACAGCAATTAGAAACCCAAAAGATAAACAATAAGATTTTAGAAATGGACAGTGCAATAGAAGGTTTCAGAAGCAAATTTAAAACAATGGAAAACAAGATCAGTGAAACTGAAGACAAATCCTTGGATACTACTTTGAGGAAAAATCAGAGAAAAGAATGAAGAAAAATGAAGAAATCCTGAGAATGATGTGGTATACAATCAAAAGCAAAGATCTGCGTGTGACTGGAGTTCCAGAACAGGGGGAGAAAACGGAAAACACAGAAAGGATCACTGAAGACTTGCTGAGGGAAAACTTTCCTAATATCATGAAAGATGAAAAGCCAATCATCCAAACACCTCAATGAACCCCACGCAGGATAGAACCCAAAATAAAAACACCAAGACATATCATAATCACACTCACTAAAACCAAAGACAAAGAAAGAATCCTGAAAACAACTCAGGAAAAATGAAAAGACACATATAAAGGGGAAACAATAAGACTAAGCTCTGATTACCTGGCAGAAAGCATGTAGGTAAGAAGGCAATGGCATGACATACATAAAATCTTGAAAGAAAAAAAAAACTGCCAACCAAGAATAACATATCCTGCGAAACTCTCGCTCATATATGATGGTGAAATTAGGACATTTCCAGATAAACAGAAATTAAGGGAATATACAAAAACCAAACCAAACTTACAAGAATTATTAAAGGGAGTCCTTCGGTTAGAGAACAACATCAGACAACAACCTGAACCTAGCATATACGATAGCATTAGCCAGATACCAACCTAGATAATAAACTCTTAAGGATAAAACAAAACTAAAAAATTTAAAACAGGGAACCACAGAGGTCAACCTGTAAATGATGACAACGTCAGAACAATAAAAGAGGAAATAAATGGTGTAGGTATAGAACTTTCAAGTGTAGAGGAAGTCAAGGTATTATCAAGTAATAAAAGACTAGTCTAAGCTTAGGAAGATAGGGGTAAATTTCAAGCTAACCACAAAGAAAGTTAACAAACTTGCTCATCAAAATAAAGAAGAAAAACAAAGTCTCAGTAATCATAAAATCTATGATGAAAAGCAATGAAAAAAAAATCCACCAACAAAAGGAATTCAGCACAGAAGAGTAAGAGGAACAAAGAAAATGACAGTACTAAAAAAAAAAAAAAAA